CGCGTGTAGTCTGAGTCCTGATCATCCAGCTTCACCTCGCCCCCCGCTGCTTTCGGGGCCTCCGTTCCAGTTCGGATCCCATCCCTACGGGGTGGGGGCTGTTCGCAGGATGCAGGTCCGCCCAGCAGCTGGCTGCCCGTGTGCTGTTCGCCTGTATGTTCGATCTGAATTTAAAATTTCAGCAAGGGCTTGAGGTTCGCACTTGGATAGACGATGTTAACTCACGATCAGAGGGCACCCGTGATTTTGTCATTTCTAGGACTCTTTCGTTCGCTGCTACTTTCATGCGAGGGCCAAATGCTTTCGCTTTGCCCCTCTCGCCTACGCCATGTGTCATTGCTGGCGCCAACTGCATCGCGCAGAAGGTGGCCCTGGACCTTCGCAAGGCAGGCATCGCAATCCGGGTCTGTCACAGTGCCCCAGACATTGGGGCCGACCGAGGAGAGAACGTGCGCGCTCGCAGGGGCAGGTGGCTTCGGCCCTGGCGCGAATGGGCGTAGACGCGCCAGTAGGATCGCCGCGCGCAAGTCCCCCAAACAGAACCTCCGCCATCGAATTTTTGACACAGGAGCTGCCCCTCGGGCCATGCACGAGTCCAAACTTTTTGGGGCCCCACCGAGCCGGCTCAAGAAGTTGCGGCAGCCTGCGGCTAGAGCTGTTTGGGAGCAGAAGCACGGGTGATGTCTGACCACGCTGCTGGGTTTAAGTCGGGCGTGTCCCCCTACAAAGGCGTTTTCGACGAAAAATAAAACATACTACAAAAGTACTCCAGAATGGTCAAACAATGCTCAGACTATTGTTTGACTATTTTTGACTACTCCTCCTGTAGAGGGACAGGCCCGACTTAATGCTGGGCCTTCGATGCGGTTCGAGAGGTCCCGCTGTCGTGGCCGTGCCCGACCTCCTGGTCGAGTGGCTCCGTTTCCTTCAACAGGCAGACGCTCCCGTCGGTCGCTTGCAGCAGGTGCGGGTCAAGACTTATAGTTAAATCGGGCGTGTCCCACTACAGGGGGATTTTCGACGACAAATAAAAAATACTCAACAAATATTTGAAAGATGCCCAGAAATACTGAAACAATAGTTCCCATACTATTTTTGACTATTTTTGAATATTCCCCTTGTGGAGGGACAGGCCCAACTTAAACTTTTAGTCGCATCTCTAACCTCCCCGCTCGCTGCAGGTGGCGTACCATCTACGGCCCCATCTCTGCCATCACCACATCTTTGCTCGGCCTAGGGTGGGGGCACTCCTGGTCTTCTTATCTGACAAGGGATCCCTCGGGGGAAAACTGGGCCCCCCCCCCGCCCAAGACACCTCGGCCCTCCGCCCCCTTTTTTAAAAGCTTGTGATCCCTCGGGCCTCCGGGCTGCTGCCCATGCCACTGTGGAGAAGCAGCTGTGGGCTCGCGCCTCCACCCAAGCACTTGGGAGAGGCCTTGAAGGCGGGTTTGATCTCTTTAGCCTCCGTCCGTCTCTGGCACACTTAGGCAAGGCCCAGGAATGTGACCGGAGAGGCGCCATCGAGTGCGCCGCCGCTTCTGGCATGTGGCCAGGGCAGAGGATTCCTGAGCTGGTGATCGGACAATTCGACCCCGCTTGTCCGAGGTGCCACATAGTACCTGAGACTTTGCGTCATCGGATTTGGAATTGTCCTTGTAACGCCGGCGTTCCAGAGCGCATCGCATCGCAGGATTTAGTCGACGATGCAGCCCAAGCCTTAGACGCGAATTCAAACGAATGCTTTTGGCTTCGCGGCCTAATCCCCGCCGCTCTCATGCCCGTCCCTGCCCCGCCCGACGTCGTCGGCGTCGTCGTCGTCGTCGTCCGTGCTGCGTCGTGCCTCTGCGGGATAGAGATGGCCAGCGCCTCTCAGCCGGGGCCCACGTCTGGTGAGCGGTGCGCCTGTTGACATGGACGGTTGTTCGCGGGAGGTGCCTCGGGGCGCGGGAGGAGGAGGAGGAGGAGGAGGAGGAGGAGGAGGAGGAGGGGGAGGAGGAGGAGGAGGAGGAGGAGGAGGAGGAGGAGGAGGAGGAGGAGGAGGGAAAGGAGGAGGAGGGGGAATGGCCAGGAGGAGGAGGAGGTTCGCGCTGCGGGGCGCTCGCTTGCGAAGGCGTGCCTGCGCGTGGGCCGGGAGCGCGGCGTCCAGTCTTAACGCCTCGGTCCTGTGGAGACGCACCCCCCCCCCTTCTTGGTGACGGGCGTCGGGCCAGTGGTGGAGCAGAGCTGCAGTGCTGTTTACATGCAGGGGCCCTGGGACACACACAAATAAGTAGACACAAACAACAGGATTCTCCGTTCTTTCCCATCTTTCCTGGGGTTTTGTCTTGCCCCCACTTCCCACATGTCCCATTTTTCTGGGGATCGACGATTAATTGTGTCTGTGTTTCTTTCCCTCCTGAGTTTAGAGTGTATCCAGCATGTTGCCACCCTTGAAAAACCTTCCTTACCGACAGCGGGTAGGCAGAGAGAAATCGGCATCGAGTCCAGATCGGCGAGCCGCCCGATTCCAATGATTGTGGTTCGCCGTCGCCTCTGACCTCCGCGTCAGAGCTGCCCTAATTAAGGTGATGAGTGCTGAGAGTCATGTGTTTGCGGACAGGTTCCCACTACGTGATTTTCCACCGTTTTTTCTTCGGTTGGCCAACACCGAAGCTGCCTGTCTGGCGGTGCGGGAGGCGTCCTGGTGCCAGACAGATCCCGATATCGCGAGCGCGTCCAAGGAGTGGACGCCGTCGCGGAGCAGGTCAGAGCTCGCCTCGCAACAGCCCTCGTCGCCTCCGCTGGCCACGACTCGATGGGGGCATACACACATATATATAGAGAGAGAGAGAGAGAGAGAGCGAGAGAGAGAGAGAGAGAAAGAGAGAGAGAGAGGGGGGAAAAAAGGAGCGAGAAGGCGCGAGGCAGACCTCTTGAATGGGGTCCGCCAGACGAGCAGATCCTGCCTCGAGAGGGCGATCGACTCCTCCCCCAACCGCCCTGGTTTGAGTTTCGATGGATCTCAGATTTCATGTGCGTTGTGCTACCAGAAGCCACAGCAGTTGTTGTCAAGTGGCTAGGTACCCCATGTGCCCCGATTGGTCCCAATGCCGCCCCGTCCTCTTCCCTGACCGCCACTCCAGATCGGCAATGAGACCGCGCACCCATCCCATGCAGTCCAGTTTTCTGACTTTGCAGACTGTTGGGCTGGCACGACGTGCGGATGTCTCGGCATGGACAGGTCGATGATCAGTTCAGCCCAGGAGTGCAAGCCTCTCATCCAGAAAGAAGGCAAGAACCCCAAGAGGCTGAAGAAGGGCCTGCTCCCAGGCACCAGCGCGAGGGCGAATGCCTTCACCGCGCAAGCCAGGACGGGAGCCGCCGCCGCGACCGCCCCTCCCCCTCCTCCTCCTCCTCCTCCTCCTCCTCCTCCTCTTCCTCCCCCTCCTCCTCCTCCTCCTCTTCCTCCTCCTATTCCTCCTCCTCCTCGTCCCCATGACCTTCCTCCTCCTATTCCTCCTCCTCCTCCTCTCGTCCCCATGACCCTCCTCCTCCTCTTTCTTCCTCTCCTCCTCCTCCTGCTCCTGCTGCTCCTCTCCTCCTCCTCCTCCTCCTCCTCCTCCTCCTCCTCCTCCTCCTCCTCCTCCTCCTCCTTCCTCCTCTCTCTCATCCTCCTTCCTCCTTCCCCTCCTCCTCCTCCCTCCGTCCCTCCCCCGCCTCCTCCTCCCCCTCCTCTCTCCTCCTCACTTCCTCTCCTCCTCCTCCTCTTCTTCTTCCGCTTCATCCTCTCCTCCTTCCTCCTCCTCCTCCTCCTCCCCCTCCTCCTCCTCCTCCTCCTCCTCTCCTTCCTCCTCCTCCTCCTCCTCCCTCCTCCCTTCCTCCTCTCCTCCTCCTCCTCCTCCTCCTCTCCTCCTCCTCCTTCCTCCTCCTCCTCCTCCCTCCCCTCCTCCGCCCTCCTCCTCCTCCTCCTCCTCCTCCTCTTCCTACCTCCTTCCTCCTCCTCCTCCTCCTCCTCCTCTCCCCCTCCCCCCCTCCTCCTCCTCCTCCTCCTCCTCCTCCTCCTCCTCCTCCTCCCCCCTCTCTTCCTCTTCCTCCTCCCTCCTCCTCCTCCTCCTCCTCCTACTCCTCCTCCTCCGCTTCCTCCTCCTCCTCTTCTCCTCCTCCTCCTCCTCCTCCTCCTCCTCCTCCTCTTCCTCCTCGGAAATCGTGCGGTTCCGACTCCGCGGGCAGGAGCGCCTGTGACGGAGGCAAGCGACGACGGGGAGGCAAACGAGGAGGCCCGAGATGATCGGACAAATGCCACACCCCACACCTCTTGGGACACGCTCGGCGCGGGAAGGGCCGCAGAACAAACGTCGCCGAGTGGCCACAACTGGATCTGACAGCTATTTTGTGTAATTCCTCCCGCGCGAGAGGTGTCCCCCGGCATGTCCCCCTACACGGGAATTTTCGAAGGAAACTAAATAAACATATTCAACAAATGATCCCAAATGTCCAACACATGTTCAAGACATATTCCCCATACTATTTTTTGACGACTATTTTTGAATATTCCTCCTGTAGAGGGACGGGCCCGACTTGAAGCTGGCCCTGTGGGGCCTCCCTTGGGGCCGTCGTGGGAGGCTGTTCGGCCGTCTTGGGAGTCCCCGGAGCCGTCTCGAGGTGCTCAAGTGAGGGCCGTCGTAGCCCCTGGGCGCCCTCCAGACGATCTGGCAGGCTTCTTGGGGTGGGTTGGGCGCGTTCTGGCCGCAGCAGCGATCGTAAGAAGACACATCAACAACAAAATCTCGAGAACATCCATCGTGTAACAGCCTCGTGGCCCTCCTGGAGGCCATCTGGGAGCCTGGTGGGATCTGTTGGGGGGCCTTCTCGGGTCGTTTGGGGGCCCTCTTGCGCTGCAGAGGAGCGCTCTGGGGACCTTCTGGGGCACTCGCGGGGCTCTTCTAGGCCAGGGCGGCGTCGCTCCACGAGCGGGGCCGCCAATGCGCCGCCGCCGGGGACCTGGCAAGCGTAAGTCATGTGCCTTTCTGGCACGCGCTCGGTATTGTAGTATAGACGGCATCTGGCACCACCCTCGCCTTCAACATGTTCCTGAGCAGCGACAGCGCGTGCCGCCACAGGCCATATTTTTCGTAGGCACTTATGCAAGCGCAGTAGCTGATGACGCTGGGCTTCAAATTTGCTCCCCGTAGATCGCCGAACAGTGACATGCCTTGCTGCCAAGTCCCCGCTTTCTCACACGCGCTGAGCACAGCATTGTAGCTCAAGATGTCTGGCTCCAACTTTGCCTCCCGCACTTCGCTGAGCAACACGAGCGCTCGCTGCCACTGAGCGCCTTTTTCGCACGAGCTGATCACGGCGCCGCAGCTGATGGCAGATGCCTCCAACTTTGCCTCCCATATCCCACAGAATATCGACGAGGCCTGCTGCCACCGCCCTGCTTTCTCGCACGCGCTGATGGCAGCGTTGTGGCTGACCAGTGCAAGACCGCGGATTACCATCAGCGCTCGCCTGTCGTAACCACACGGCCCATACGCGCGCGCGGAAGTCGATGCTCGACGCACGCAACGTGCGGGGGGCGAGAGCGGGGAACACCAAGGCCTGGATCCTGCGGGGGCATCAACTCTGGACGGAACCAGCGCGTTCGCCTGACACTCGGGTGGGGCTGGGACGAGGATGTTCCAGAGCGTTCCGGAACGCTCTCAGGGCGCTCCGGGACGCTGTGAGAAGGCCGCGGCGCCCGAGACATCCTCCAGATCCCGCCAGATCTCCTCAGACATTCTCGATTTCTCCTCACCGTGGGCTGGATCCCCAGCTGACATGACAAGAGGGGAGCAGGAGGAGGAGGAGGAGGAGGAGGAGGAGGAGGAGGAGGGGGAGGAGGAGAGGGAGGGGGAGGGGGAGCGGGGAGGGGAGGAGGAGGAGGAGGAGAGGAGGAGGAGGAGGAGAGGAGGAGGAGGAAGGAGGGAGGAGGAGGATGAGGATGAGGAGGAGGAGGAGGAGAAAGAGGACAAGGATGAGGAGAAGAATGAGCAGGAGGAAGAGGAGGAGGAGGAGGAGAAGGAGGAGGAGGAGGAGGAGGAGGAGGAGGAGGAGGAGGAAGAAGAAGGGGCTAGTGTGTAATCCGCTGGTGACCTCCCAGAGCCCCCCGGAGCCCCCAGAAGGTCACCGAAATTGTCCCCAGAGTTGTTGACGTCTTCTGCTGTTCCTTAGTTTTTGCTGGTCAGCCCCCGCTCCTTCTCTTCCTTCCCCTCTCCTTCCCTCGCTCCTTGCCTCCGGCGGGCGCGCGCGCCGAAAGGGGGGGGTCGGGTGGCGCACTCCCCTCCGCCGCGCGTCCGTCGCCTCCGCCTTCAGGTTCCTTCCTGGTCCCTTCCTCCCTCCTCCCTCCACCCTGCCGCCCTGTCTGTCACTGTTTTGGGGGGCGTGTCCTGGCGCGGGCACCCGGGTGGCCTTTGGCCTTCCACCCGGGCGTCAACAAACACTCCCTGGATGGACCCCCCCCCACGAGCGCACGCGCCAGCTCGCGCGGCGGCGCCCGGCCGGAAAGCGCTCAAAAACACTCCTCCTCCTCCTCCTCCTCCTCCTCCTCCTCCTCCTCCTCCTCCTCCTCCTCCTCCTCCTCCTCCTCCTCCTCCTCTCCTCCTCCTCCTCCTCCTCCTCCTCCTCCCTCCTCCTCCTCCTCCGCCCTCCTCCTCCTCTCCTCGTCCTCCTCCTCCTCCTCCTCCTCCTCCTCCTCCTCCTCCTCCTCCTCCTCCCCCCTCACCTCCTCCCCTCCTTCCTCCGCCCCTCCTCCTCCTCCTCCTCCTCCCTCCTCCTCCTCCTACTCCTCCTCCTCCTCCCCTCCTCCTCCTCCTCCTCCTCCTCCTCCTCCTCCTCCTCCTCCGCCTCCTCCTCCTCCTCCTCCTCCTCCTCCTCCTCCTCCTCCTCCTCCTCCTCCTCCTCCTCCTCCTCCTCCTCCTCCTCCTCCTCCTCCTCCTCCTCCTCCTCCTGCGAGCGGCGAGGCACGGTCGCGGCCGCGCTTGCGCCCGCTCTGTCGCCGACGAGCGGCGCGACGAACCGGTGGTGCACCACGGCGATACACCTCCCGGCCGGACGTCAGGCCTAGCAGCTAGGCCCGGCCCCCGGCCGGATAGTCGCCCAGGTCCTCCAGCTCAGGCAGCGAGCTCGGCGGCCAGTGCCGCGCGGGCGCGCGGCCGCGCCGCCTCCGCCCCCAGCGCCGTGCGCAGCTGGCGCGCGGTGGCCGCCTGCAGGGCCACAGCCAGTTCCGCGCCCCAGCGGCGCGTGAGGGCGCCGGCCGCGGCAGCGGCGGCAGCGGGGTCGCCCCCTGCGAGCAGTTGCGCCCGGTCCCTCGCAAGCAGGCGCAGGTGGCGCAGGGCGGCTGGGCCGTGGCGCCCGCCCGTTTCGAGGGCGAGCGGCACCATCCGCCAGGGCGCTCGCCCGGCAGGGTACCGAGCGTGTTTGTCCGCCTCGGCGCCCTTGTTGACGGCGCCGTCCCGCGCCGCGGCAGCCTGGAGCCCCTCGGCGTCGCCCGGCACGGCGTACCGCACGGTGACATCCAGGAAGACTCGGGGGCAGTCAGCCCGCTGAATCTCCAGGTCGAGGATGGCTTCCTCGCGCCGGGCTGCGAGCGGGGCGCCGCAGGAGCAAGCCGCGCCCGCTGCCGGCCGGGTCGCCGCCGTGCCGCTCGCCGCGCAGCTGCTGCAGTGCCAGCGCCAGCGGTCCCAGGCGGGCACTGGCGTCTGGCGAGCCACCTGGTAGCCGCACTCGGCATGGATGTGCGCCCAAGCCGCTTCCAAGTCGCCGCTGCGTGCCTTGAGGCCCCCTCCGCGCGGGCACCGCCAGGCGTGGCGGCCCTTGGCGCAGAGCGGTTCGCCGCAGCGCCGGCCAGCCCGCTCCCCTGCGCGGGTGCAGTTTGAGCAGGTGGCGCCTGGCGGGGCCGCGTCCTGGCCTAGCAGGCAGCGCGTCGCTGAGCGGTAGGCGGCGTCTTCCAAGCGCTGGCGGGGCTCGCCTGGCGAGGCCGTCTGCCAGGCCGCGGAGTGCGGGCCGCCGCAGGAGCGAAGCAGCGCCCGGTCCTCATCCGAGTCCAGGGAGCCCAGCAAGGAGGTGTAAGTTTTTTGGTCGATCCTTGCAGTGAGCGTCCTCTGGAGCTTCTTCGGAGGCTCGGTGGCGAGCTCGGCCCAAGTGGGCAGCCTGTCAGGGCCGGCGCCCCAGCGAGGCGGCGGCGGCGGCAGCGCCGCGAGCCCGGCAAGGCTGCTCCGGCAAGCAGCGGCGAGCGGCAGCGGGCTCGTGTTCAGGTCGTCCAGGGAGGCCAGCCCCGTCCGCTCCCGCAAGGCGCCCAGGCTCTGCGCCCAGGAGGCCGCCCAGGCCGCCGGGGCCAGCTCCTCCTGGCTGCGAAGGCCGCGGCCGCCCAAGCGCAGCGGGAGCTGGCAGCGTTGGTTCTGTTGTGGCGTGAGCGGGTCCAGGTGCCCGAGCTCTTCGTAGGCGGCCAGGAGGGCAGCGTCGCAGGCCGCCGCCGCCGGGCGCGCCTGTTCGGGAGGCGTCGCGCGAAGCGTGTGCGTCAGTTTGCCAGTCCCGCAGTGCCGCAAGAGCAGGGCCGCCGTCTGCACCGCGGGCAGGTGCGGGGAGGCCAGCGAGGGCAGCTCGGCCACCTTCGAGAGCAGCCCGGCGGCTCGTGTCGCGGCGTCCTCGGCGCTCTCCGTGGCGTAGTCGGCTGCGCCCAGGTCTGCCCGGCGCCCCTCGTCCGGGCGCGGCAGCTCCCGCGGCTGTGGCTGCTCGGAGAGCGCGGCTCCAACCAGCGTTAGGCCTCTCTCTTGCCAGTGCGCCTCCAGGCCAGGCGGGCAAGGGGCGCGGGGTGACCAAGCCTGCGTTTTGCCTGGCTGCAGCTCCAGTCCGAGCGGGGCAAGCGCGGCCTGCGCCGCTGGCAGCACCTCCGCAGCGAGCTCTGGCGGCACGAGAACCACTAGGTCGCCCAGGTAAGCGAACACGTGAACTTCGCCCTGCGGAAGCCCGCGCGCCTCAGCCCGGCGGCGCAGGTCCTCCTCGAGCGTGCGCAAGTAGGGGCGCAGGCCGCAGGCAAAGAGGAGGGGCGCGAGCGGGTCCCCTTGGTCCACGCCGTCAGTGGCGTGCAGTCGGTGGCAGGCCCCCTTGCTGTCCCAGAAGAAGTACTGCGAGCGGCGCCTGCAGAAGAGCTCTGCGAAGGGGAGGAGGGAGGGATCCACCTCCTCCAGCTGCTGCAGGCAAGTGGCCCGGCGCGCGGTGCAGAAAGCGTTCTTCGCGTCCAAGGCAGTAACCACCAGGTGTGGCGCATTCTCCAGCAGAGCGCGCACTGAGTGCGCCAGCAATTCAGTCCCCGCGGCCGTGCCGATGGCGAACTGCTGTCTGCCGAGCGCGTCTTGCAAGCGGCCCCGTCGCTCGGTTGCCAGTGCGCGGCCCACCAAGCGCCGCAAGATGTTCGGCGCCGCGATGGGCCGGACGCCGCGCTCGCCCTTCCGCAGCGGCGTGAGCTTGGAGGTAGCCAGGGCAGCGGCGGCGCTCTCGGGGACTCGCCCCTCAGCCAGGCGGTCGCAGACGCCGCAGAAGGCCCCCAGCGCCCCAGAATCAGAGAGGACCACCCGCCAGTGCTCGAACCTGCCGCCGCCGACAGCGGCCCCGCTCCCCTTGGGGCTCGCCCGGAGGACCTTCTGCAGCCGCCCGTAGGAAAGGGGCGCGTCGTCGAGCTGTCGGGCTGGCGGCGGCGCCAGGGCGGGGGCGCCCCTCGGCTGCAGGAGGCCCTGGAGCTGCTGCCCGGTCTCTGGCGTCAGCGGAGCGAGCCCCGGGCTGCTCAGCAGCGCCGCTGCTCGGGAGTACTCCTCGGCAAGCGCCTTCCGCAGCGCCTCGTCGGCCAGGGTGCTGGCGTCGTGGTCTGGGCAGCGCCCCTCGCGTCGGGCTTTCGCCAGTGCCCGGCCCGTCCTGCGAGCTTCCGCCAGCAGTTCCTCCCAGCCGCCCCGCTGCAAGGTCGCGCAGCGCTCTCGCACAAGCCGGGCGCGGTCCATCGTCTCCGCGGCCGTCCGCCGCGAGCGCCCCCCGCGCAGCCGGAGCGGCGCAGCGAAAAGAAGCCTTTCCCGCAGGAGCAGGAGCTTCCAAGCTCTGTCCTCCTGCTGGCTGCCGGCCGCAGCACCGAGAACGGCCTTGCAGACCTCTTCCGTGGCCTGGGCTGCCGCGGTGCGCGCCCCCCCCGGCACGTAGCGGAGCGTGGGGACGTCTTCCGCGAGCTCCTCCAGCAGGTCAATCTGGTCCAAGCCCGCCCAGCAGGGGTCGGCCAAGTCGCGGAGCGGGAATGCTGCGGCAGCGGGCGCCGCGGCGGCCGCGGGCGCAGCGGCTGCGGGCGCGGCGGCCGCGGGCGCGGCGGGCGGCGCCAGGGCGGCGGCGGGCGCGGCGCCTGCGGCAGCGGGCGCCCCTTCTCCAGCAGGCGGCGGCGCGGCGGCGGCGGCGCAGGTGCGGCAGAGGAGCGCCTCGCAGCTTTCGCAGTGGTGGAGCCAGCCGCCGGGCCCAGCCCTCCCGAAGCAGGCAGCGCAAGTCTCTCCAGGCAAGGTTCGCGCAGCGCGGAGCGGGCCCCGGCAGCCTGGGCAGAGCAGCGGCGCCCCCCCAGGCGGCCCAGGGTTGCTGGCCTCGCCGACCCGCAGGCCGGCGTAGCCGCAGCGTCGCCTCAGCGGCCCGGCGTGCGGCTGCGGCGGCGCGGCTGCCCAGGAGGTGGGGCGGCGGCCCCTCCGGCGGCCCCCCGGCGAGCGCCGCGCAAGCGGCGAGCGGCGGCGAGGAGGGCGTCGTCGGTGTTTGCTTCCTCGAGCTGCTCCAGGGCTTCCTCCTCCTCGGAAGCCTCGTCGAGCTCTGCGTCCGTGTCGGCGCCCGCCAGCCTCGCGTCGTCGGGCGGCGCCGGTCCGGGCCCCGCTGCTTCCAGGGCGGCGTGCGCCGCGGCCATCGCCGCCAGCAGCGGCTGTGGGGGAGCGCCGCCCCAAGCCTGCGCCGCGGGCCCGCGCGCGTGGAGCTCCAGGCGGTCCAAGAGTTCGCGCGTGGCGAGCAGCAGCTGCTCCGCCCCAGCGTCCCGCGCGGGCGCTGCCTCGTTTGCGCCGCGGGCCGCTGCCTCGGCAGCCGCCGTCTCCTCCGCCTCCTCCTCCTCCTCCTCCTCCCTCCGCCTCCTCCTCCTCCTCCTCCTCCTCCTCCTCCTCCTCCCTGCTCCTCCTCCTC